GTTTTTTTAATGTCTACGCGTTTCGCCTTCGTGTGCTAGGTTGGCCACTTCCTGTCGGAATGAAAGTACAAAACTGTGTTTTTTTTCTTTTCATTTTTTTTTATTATTATTAAAGCCGTTAATGTATGTTTGAATTAAAATTAGCTCACTTCGACTATGTCTCTGTTATTCTCCCCATTACCTCGTATGCCGCAATTCCGGAAAATCCTTGTTGAAAATACAACTATACTTAAACATGTAAACAATAAACAAAAACTAAAAATTCTTGAATCTATATACATAAAACAGTTCAAACCTAACCTGAAAAAATAAACTATGAAAACTCCACAAATATACTCAAATGCCTATAACTAATAACAGAAGTCATTGGTTTATACCAGCGGCTTCCCATGCTTAACACTTTCCGTTTTCACTTTCGTGTGTCATGCGAGATGTCATGGGCTGCGATGCGATTTTTGCTTCCAGTGGCTCCTATGCACGAGTTTGCCGTTGCTTGGAAATCTTTAATGCCCGTGTATTGTTTAATTAATTGTAATGTACTTGTCATCTCTGATGGTGGCATATGTAAGCCGAAAGCTTAAATAGGATTAAAAAAAAAAAACATGTACAATATGGTGGTTTTCTTTCGTCTTTCAATGATAATGTTATTAAGCTTAACAGACGATATGAAATGAATTTGCTTCAAATAAATAGAGAAAACCTGTCTATATTATTTAATGAAACATGCATATATATATATATATATATATATATATATATATATATATATATATATATATGCCGGGTGCAACAGCAAAATAGTACAAATCATGTAGGAGCATAACTATCCAAGCCAAAAAAATTGTTAATATCTAAAAAAAAAAAATCACGTAATTAATTCTGGGTCTTTTTTCCAGGTTTTCAGATAAGACGTTTAGCCATCTTGACACAATTTATTGTAAGGAACATTGAAAAAACATTTTTTAGATATTCTGCTAGAAAAGGAACAGGTTAAAATCGTTTTATGTCAGATCCACTGTCTTCCCAAATGAGCAATGGTGGGAGGAAAAAGATCATTCACGCCTTCAGTAATAGTACCAAAATTTATGCTCTGGTTTCCATCTTCAAAGTCCATTCACGAAACATATGTGATAACGGTGAATAAGTTTTAAAAAATTGGGAACAGTAGTGAGGAAAACTAGATCAGGAGGTCACAACTGGATGATAGATCATCAATTAAACTTAGAGCTACGGAGATCAGTTAGAAAGGGGTCAACACAAGGTAAAAGACTTTGGGCATGTGCGTGAGGAGTTTCATTTATGACAGTCTAAAAAGCAGTGAAAAAAAAAATTGAAAATGAAATCGTATGTGAAATCTGTGAGGCATGTTTTACTCATAGGATGGAAAGTTAGAAGGTTAGAGAGTTCGAAGATCATCTTGAATAAGTTGAAAAATGATCCTAGAATAAATATATATATATATATATATATATATATATATATATTACAATAAACGTGCAATCAATTTACAAATACATGAATTATTCACACAAAACTAATGCAAAGGTTAATGATTTAAATGGCGAGACATCCATCATCGCAAACAATTCAAATAGTATACAAAAACCTCCAGATCCGTTATGAATGAATTGATCCTTGTTTATATAAATTTCTGCCGTATTAGTTGTTATTTTTACTACAAGCTTTCGTCTGTTCCTACAGACATCTTCAGGTATAGAATAGATGCTGTTCTTGTTTTTTTTTCTCTTAGTAATAAGAGAACAACGAAAATATATGTGTTGTTGTATCCGAAAATGCTATTGAAAATGAGTTATTGGTTTTGGAACGCGCCAAAGCAACGCTGAGTTTGATTTTAAATTTTTAAAGTGTTTGCGTTTATACCAAATATGGTGATGAACAAATTTTTTTAGTGGTAATTTTTTCTGTCAAAGTGGCATGAACTATATTGTTCAATAATTACAGTAATGTCGCACTTATTATCTAAAAGTCGCACTTGGATCAGTTATTTAAATTACAATAAACGTGCAATCAATTTACAAATACATGAATTATTCACACAAAACTAATGCAAAGGTTAATGACATCCATGGATGTCTCGCCATTTAAATCATGAATAATTAGTTAGCATGACTGTTACACCCTGAAAATACCTGATAAAAAATGGACTTTTCTAAATTTGATCGGGTGGAAAGAAGTGAAAAGACACTACTTGGTTTCAGTGAGAAAATGAACGAAAGAAAGAATGCTATAGAAGTGTTTACCGATTTCATGCCAATACTTCATAAATGACGAGCTATTCAGTTTTGATCGAGCGGAAAAACTTTAAAGATGTATCAGAATCGTTACATGGTTTTAGTGAGAAAAGAAAAGAAAAGAAAAAAGAAAATATACAGAAAGAGAGAAGTATTTAACGTCTGTTTCTCTGAAATAAAAAAAAATGTTGGTTATTTCAAGTATTTTCATTTTCTAAACCTTTACTTCTTAAAATAACGATCGAACGTGAATCCCGTGAGTCATCAAGGTCACAGCGACGCCACATGTACTGCAGCCGCAGTAGAAGTGGTGTTACTTGAGCAAGATAGCCTGACGGAGCGCAGACCTCTCCAGACCGGATTTGAATTCAGAGTTACTTTCTACTAGAATCGTTGCCACCCACTGCTATAGAACCCAGTCTGTCCCGCTATTTGCCCATAGCTGGGGGGAAAGGAGGATTCGTACTTTTCCCAAGGGTATTAGCACATCACTGGAATTCGAAATTGGCTCACCGATTTATCAATCTAAGCTGCTATCGATTACTCCACTGTGCATCTTTCTCTCTCTCCTTCTCTCTCTCCCTCTCTCTCTCTCTCTCTCTCTCTATATATATATATATATATATATATATATATATATTAGTCAATTTTTATGTTTATACATTCTTTTTATAGATAAAATATTTAAGTAAATGCTCTGTTTATAATAAACAGTATTAAGCAACATTTACTGGCCTGAAAAAAGAATGTATAAACATAAAAAATTTCTTAAAATTCTTTCTCATTCCATTATATATATATATATATATATATATATATATATATATATATATATATATATATAAGCATTTCACCCCCAAGTAAAGAGGGAGTGCCACAGAGGTTAGAGAAGGAATTATACTCACATAAGCTATCAATACGTCATCAAAATATCTTTCGTCACCGGTCAAGTGACGCGAAATGTTATGACCTGCTTTGTTTTATTTTCAAAAATATTTTTCTTTTTAGTGTAGCAGGTAAGTTAAGCTTGTTTCAAAATATTTTAAATAAACATTATAATTTCCGATTTTCTTAAATAAGTTTTGAAAAAATTATAATTGATTTTTAAAAGAATTTCAAACTGAGATTTTTTTTTTTTTAAAATGGAAAAAATGGTTGACATTATCTGTCAATTTTTCTGACTAAAAAAAAACAAGATTTTTAACGAAAAATTCTGACGTGATAGGATCGATTAAAAATGTGAAAAATTACCCCTAAAATACTTTGATCTTTCCTCTTAAAAATAACATAAATATTTAGACAATAAATTTTTGTTTTCGTCAAGCTTGGCGTCTTTTTCGTCATGCTATGCTCTTTTTTAGGGATCGCATGGAGGGACCTAAATAAATACTAAGAACCTGGAAAAATGACTGAGCAACATCATGGTTCGGTTAATATTTCGTTCACCGCGTTTTTAGAATATTGATTTAAATAAATTTCATTTTTATTATATCTCATTTAAATTTACGTAAAAATTCTTAAATATGGCTTTTTCATTAATTTTGTAATATGACATTTTGGTTTTTACGCTTTAAGAGAAAATGTTAAAAAATATTAAACTAAAAATATTAATATTTGTTCACCTTTTTACAGAAAACACAACCAATAAAAATAATTCTATGAATGCACTTGTTCTTTCTTTTTAAATAACAATATTAGAGACAAATATCAAAGTAACTTTGTGAAATAATGATGATGATTTATTTTGAATATATTTCGAAGTATAAAAATAAAATAAAAACGGGCATAAAGAAACGTCTTCGAAAAGACGTGTGTCTGTTAAAAATCGACATTAACTTTATGTCATTTTTTCTCATTAATTTTAATAAGTAAAAATCATTACAGTTCACTCAATAATAAAAAGAGAACGTGGTAATAAAAAACAACTCAACCTACCATTACATATATTATATACCATATTTAATTATTACTTATTATTCATTGGATTTGATTATTATTACTTGTATCATAATTTATTATATCATCCTATTATAACTGTGCATGTCCATATCTTCGTTAATTTGCACGACCGTTAAGTCCTGCCATTATCTAATAAATGATGCACTATTCCGTTTTGATCGCGTTGAATGAGGGTAAAAGACAATAATTAGTTCCGGTGAGAAAATGACAGGAAAAAAGAAACAAACAAACAAACAAACAAACAAGATAGAAACATTTAACATCTTCTGTCAATACCTTATTAGTCCTGGGTATGACGATAAACTATATCCTGCAGCAAGGTCTCTGATCGGGATTTTGAAGCTTTTGAGGAGCCTGACATCACCTCTTAATTGCTGATGTTTCCAGGTTCAATCTGACTCGGGCTGGTAGCACCTGTTAGACTCCAAGCCTTGATCAAATAATGAAACAAAATCAAAACGCATTAAAAGTATAAACATACATTCTTATCGTAAAATACCGGCAATAGATGTTTGTATAAAAGTAAATGACCAACAATAAATGTTATCTGTACTTGAAGATCATACATTTGCAAACAAAATATATTTAGTTGAAGCCATAAACATGTACTGGCATATTAAGATTACTGCATTAAATATGCCATAGATATACCGCTATACAAAGTCAATAAACCAACCGATCCCTCAAAAATGATGGTCTATTCTGTTTTGATTGCGTAGAATCAGAGGAAAAAACTCTACTTGAAGAAAGAAAGAAAGAAAGAAAGAAAGAAAGAAAGAAAAAAAGAAATTAAAGAAAGTAAAAGAAAGAAAACAGAAAGAAAGGAAGAAATAATGAAGGAAAAAAGAAAGAAAGAAACAAACAAACAAACAAAACAGAAAGGAAACAGAAAGAAAGGAAGAAAGAAAGATTGATAAAAGAAAGAAAGTAAAAAAAAAAGAAACAAAACAAAAAAAAAGAAAGAAAACAGAAAGAAAGAAAGAAAGAATGAAAAAGAAAGAAAGAAAGAAAGAAAGAAAGAAAGAAAGAAAGAAAGAAAAAGACACTACTTGAGAAAGAAAGAAAAAATAGAAAGTAAGGAAGAAAGGAAGAAAGAAAAAGAAAGGAAGAAAGAAAAAGAAAGAAAGCAGAAAGAAAGGAAGAAAGAATGAAATAAAAAAGAAACAAACAAACAAACAAACAAAACAGAAATGAAGGTAGAAAGAAAGAAAAAAGAAACTAAGAAAAAGAAACAAAAAAAGAAAAAAGGAAGAAAACAGAAAGAGGGGAAGTAAGAAGGAAAACTAAAGAAAAAGAGAAAGAACAAAGACAGAATGAAAGAAACAAAGAAAGAAAGAAACAAAGAAAGAAAGAATGAAAAACAAAGAAAAATAAAGGAAGAAAAAACAAAGAAAGAAAGGAATATAGAAGAGTTTAACGACTAATTTAGTGAATGAAGAAAGGTGGCAATTTTCAATCTTTTCATTTCTACGCAATTCTCAAAATACCGATTAGTATTCATATTTATGATTGGTATTGCAATATTTTGTTAAAAGTGTTGAGTTCAAATATTTAGCGACGTGATCGGGTAATTTCTACTGATATTTCATTTTCGTGGAACTCGCTTTGAGCTTTCTCTATCTTTAACTTAAGATTCATCAGAATATAAAAATGGGAAAATCATGAAATTTTCCCGGGTTAAAACTAGTTTAATTATTAACTGTGAATCGCTATATGAGTCTATACATAATTTTTGTAAAGATTATTGGATTTTACGATGAACATTAAGAAGTTAAATTCGCTTTGGAAAGTTAAAAGTTATAGCTATCTACCTGTTATCATAAATCCTATAGTGAACTAAAAATTGTATTAATGATATTCCCTGTTCCTTTCTAAAATCGATGAGAAAACTCAAATATATTGCGCGTAAAAGAGATATTTGAATGTTTTTTTTCCAGTCTCAAAATTTTTCAGAAATATTTTTGTCTGTTTTATTTTTGGTTCAAAGGGGAAAAGACATACCTAGCAGAAATGTATTCAGGTTTCTTTCTTTGAAAATAAAACAGCGTTGATTTGAACAGGGAAAACGACAAGCAAAGTTAATTTGCGTCAACGTAATTCTCATGTCAGATTTCTACTCTGATATTCGCCATTTTCTACGTCGTGCTGGAATATCAAACACTCTTCCCGTTTCATTTTCTACAAACTTGTGATATCGCCTAAAAAATCAGACGGCCTCGTGTGAATACTCTTCGATCTATCTCGAAAGTAATACGCCATAAAAAGTGGTTTCATCTTCCTTTGCTAATTGTAAAAAAAAATGGCCTGCCAGTGTTTCAAAAGATAAATGTTACATGAAGCCAGATTGTGAGCATCAATTCAGTCACAAGTAGTAAATTAATTTGTAAGACTACAACGATAACCATCTCTTTATTCTAATAAGTATTACCAAAGACTTATTATAAACTCATGCGAACATCCGCTTGATCTATCTGAGATATTTTTTTTTAAATCCATGATAAACGAAGGGTAATTATTTACATTGTTTGAATCGTTGGCCTCATTTTATTGCAATATTCATGCGAGTTCAATAGTTGGCTACTTCAGTGATGAACAAAAAATTGTTGAGTTGAGTTAAAGAGAGATAATTGAGACATCCGGAAGAGGCATAGTACGTGGAACTAGAAGAATCGACCCCGGTGGTCAAAATAAACGGTTCGTTAGAAATTTCAGTCACCTGAAGAAGGCCGAGGCGTACAACGGCCAAAACGTCCTAAGCATGTCAATAAAGATGAGGACAACAGTCCGAACAATGTAATTAATGGAAATAATTACAAGACCTCATCTCAGAAATATAGAGAGACACGAAACGAAGGATGTTAAAAGATTTTCAGAGCGATCAAAATACTTTCCATAACAAATATTATGTTTGTTGATTGAGTCAAATTTAAGTACGGAAATGTTTCAGAACTCCTTAGCATATATATATATATATATATATATATATATATATATATATATATATATATATATACAATATATAATTGGTATATACGGAATAGTGTGTTGAAACAAAATGGCTATATTTGTAGTGATTTTATAACATACTTATGTTATAATTTTTTTATAAAATAATATATATATATATATATATATATATATATATATATATATATATATATAAGACATATTTCTATGTTTATACATTCTTTTTATAAAAAATGTCTTAAATATTTGCCGGACTTTGTCCATTTCATATATATATATATATATATATATATATATATATATATATATATATATATATATATATATAGCGATGTCAAATATAATGTGAAATCCAAAATGCTGGCAGAAATCGCTGATACCCACTGAAGTGTGGACAAGGGATGAAAGTAACATCAATAAGCTAAACTTTTAGCTATATTATTCTCTTCTCTCTCTCACTCTTTTCTCTCTCTCTCTCTCTATATATATATATATATATATATATATATATATCGTTAAAATGACAGAAAAAGGAAAATATTAGTTTCTTTATTTAGCGTTTACAGCGTTCTTACGTTTTATGGGGATAAGGGAGTGCAACAGTTGTGCACATAGTCTGTAGTCTCAAGTGCTTTCGGACAGTTCTTTACTCATTTTAAGTGGGTGGGAGGGGGTTGTTATAGGTGTTGCTAATTTCTCTTCATGTTTTGAATCACTCGAATTCCAGCTGTGCTCAACAGTGGAGTGCTCGAAATAAAGGCTCCTAATAGTATTTAAAATAACACAATAAATACATATCAACAAGTCAGAATATAAAGACAACCTTAGAACACCTAAAAGAAAGGTCTTTGAAAATGGCTAAATAAGTGGGCGAAAGTGCCAGGGACAATGGACAATATGGACAATTTTTAGACTCTCTTAATCCCATAAACGTAATAACGCTGGGAAACTAAATAAAAAATCAATTAGATTTTTCTCGTCTGTCATATTTAACGAAAGATGTTCCACAGAATGGTTGCTATCAATATATATATATATATATATATATATATATATATATATATATATATATATATAAAATAAACTATTACCTTGGAACATGCACATTAATGTTAGCCACCTGATGAGATGTCTAAATTAGACATCGAAACAAATATGCATTTTTGTAGTGATAACGTATGTGTGTGTGTATATATATATATATATATATATATATATATATATATATATTATACTGGAACGCACCTATTCTATTGTTAATAGACTCTCCCACCTATAATAAGGAGGAGTACTATCAGTCGTATAGTCGCTAAGTGAGTTGGTCAGCCAGTCGATGTCGGACAACCGTTAGTCAGATATTAAAGTATCAGCCACCGCAACTAAATTTGCAGCGTCATTAACTACTATATCAAGTTCCTAACCATAGATAGATAGATAGATAGATAGATAGATAGATAGATACTCAGCATATATATATATATATATATATATATATGCTGAGTCCCAAAAATATGACGAAACAGCAGTCCGGTGCTTTCTGCTTTTTGCTGAGGATTATTCTAGACTACACATACACACACACACACACACACACACACACACACACACACATATATATATATATATATATATATATATATATATATATATATATATATTCTTCTTATTCTACCATTTCACACACTTCCACTTTTTTTTTTGTTTTGTTAATTTCAATCCAAGTAGGCATTACAAATTTTTTTAGTATATGTATGGAGGATTGAATGGTTACGGACGAACACTTATGGTGAATATGTAAATTGCAACGTGCGTGTGAATGGGTCGGAAATCAGATTAGCGAAGTATAAGATAGTTAGTGATGATCAGCTTCAAAACCTCCCCTTTTTGGTCTTGTGCCACTATTCTATTTTAAATACAATAAATAATAATTACTAAAATTTGTGACCCTCCTCTTTTACAGGCAGAATCACACAAATGCATGCTGGGAAATTTTCCGAGCCTATAAAATACAACAGTTTGCTGTTTCATTTCACTGTCTTAGCTTAAAGTCAGAATGTTACGTTCGCTTTTCCGAACTTTTTTGTGTCGATGACGATTCTTAGTTTGTGAACATTTTGTTATACTATTATTGTCTTGCCTTCTTACTGATGATTTGCCTTGAATATATTGTTTGCTTGCTTTATATTATTTTTCCGTGTTTTTTTTTGTTTTGTTTTTTTTCATTTCTTTTTTCTTGTTATTGCTTCTTGTAAACTGTCAATTCTATTTATCGGACAGTTCTGTTACTTAATTTTTATTTGACCATGTCTATTCACTACACACCTTTCTTCATCCTTTCTTCAGTCACTCTCTCAAATTCTTTATTTATATCCATTGCTTTAAAATTTGTCCCTCATTCGCTACTGTTTGATTGATCATTCTCTTAATCTCTAATTCCATTTTGTTTTCTCTCGTCCACATTTCCCAACATATATTGTCCTTTGTTTTGTTTTAGTTTACTTCATTAATACACGATACCCCAGGCTTTATATCTAGGTTAATTTTCCTTCTCTCTCTCTCTCTCTCTCTCTCTCTCTCTCTCTCTCTTTCCTTCTTTAGTTAGTCTGTTTCTTTCTGCTCTCTTTATTTCAACCTCTCACTTCTACCTTTTATTCTATTCTTATTCCTGTAATATTTTCTCACGAATCTTCACCGTTTTTTTGTTGTTGTTCTATTCATTCCCATTTAGATAATACAAATAAAAGGACTATGTCATTTGCCTATAGTTATCGTGATCACCAATCTTTAGAAGTGCTCACCTAGTGGGGCAATGATAATAATAATGGCGCCATATTACAAGAGTCTTCATGAGATCCACTTCGACCTCCCTCATCTTTTATGACCAGCAGGGCCTTGAACAGATGCTATCATGATGAATATCTCAAGGACCCTATAGTTAGCATAACGGGCAATGGGTGCGAATGGAAATATACTCAATACTATACACACATACAATAAAATGTCTATAAGTATAGATAAACATAATAACAAGATGTATGTGTATGTATACACAATAACAATAACAGATACTGTCTTCTTTTGCTAACAATGGTAAATTTATATGTTAAAGTATAGGTTGCTCTTAATATTAAGACTATTTGGCCTAAAAAAAACTGAATTGCTCGGTAGCAAAAACTTAAGCATTAAGAGTAACAGATAAATTATAATATGAATTAATAATAAGAATTAACTGTTCACTCATGTGAGAATTTATTTGCTAGTATATTAAAATATATGTATTGATGTATGCAGATCAATAGATAGACAGATAGATAGACAGACAATGAAAAAGACAAGATAGATAGATAGATAGATAGATAGATAGATAGATAGATAGATAGATACTCAGAAGATAAAACTTACAACTCAATAAAATAAATAAGATGGATGTTAAAACTAACAATTTAATAACAGATAGATAGATAGATAGATAGATAGATAGATAGATAGACATTCAGAATCTAAAACTGATAATTTAATAACATACAACTAATATATATATATATATATATATATATATATATATAGAGAGAGAGAGAGAGAGAGAGAGAGAGAGAGATAGATAGATAGATAGATAGATAGATAGATAGATAGATAGCAATTTTTTAAGAAGTTATGGATTTTTATTTATTAATCCAACAGATTTTATCACTTGATACGTTATTTTTAATGGATACTCGTATTTAATATGCGTTCTCCGGCAGGATTCAAACCTGCGTCTGCTCAGATCGTCCAAGCGTGCATCGCATATGGCACTTAACTGACTGACTGAACATTCAAACGACTGGCGTATTTTTATGACACACACATTAATGTTTAAATGATGAGTAATTTCTGATTATCATTCGAAATACGTTTCTCATCCTTCCGACAACACTGCCTGTTAGCTAACATTTTTCGGAAAAAAAACATATTCATAGATTATATTTAAGTCGCGCCTAGCCTAATTCAATTTTCATTCGATTTAAGTGCTCAGTTATCGAAGAGGAAATACTAAAGAAATGTTAATTAAGGATGTTTTTCTGTTTTAGATTACTTGCGGGGAAACCACTTTCTTTCTTTCTTTCTTTCTTTTTTTTTTTTTTTTAAGCGTTTCACCCCAAGCAAGGCAGGAAGCCACTAGGACGCAAGGGGTTACAGAAAATTTGGAGCAAGAACAGATAGGAGTGGTAGAAGAAAGAATGAGGAGAAGGGTAGTGGATAGATCAAGGCAACTGGAGATGTCGATTGACATTACATTTGAATAGCTGGAGATTATAGCTCTCAGGAAAACTGGAATAGGGAAGGGAGTTCCACAGGCGAGAGTTGCGTGACATGAAGCTATTGGAGTAGAAGAGACGGCTACATTTAGGAGTTTCGACAGTGAAGGGGTGAGAGTGGGAAGCCAGCCTCGTAGGGCGCTTGAACTCATGAAGTCTGGGAACCAGCGAATGCAGCTCCTCGGAGCAATTGCCATGAAAGTATTTGTAAAACAGACAAAGAAAAGCGACGGCGCGTCTGTGAGAAAGTGACTGTAGACGAGATGCCAGAGCAGGGCCAATTATATTGCATATCCACCTCTGGAGCCTATCAAGAACCCCGAGGCAAACAGAAGGGGCTCCAGACCATATATGGCAGCAATACTCTATGCAAGGGCGAATTGTTGATTTGTAGATCTGGAGGATCGATTCCGGGGCTTTACTCAAATAATTAAAAGTGAAATTTTCTTATCTTTCTATCAATATTTCTGACTTGCTTTAACATCGCCATCATTGCTCCAAATGCTTTGTCAATACTCCTAACCGCCTCACTAACACTATGTCTCATAGTTCACTCAAGATTTACTTTAACGTCGCAATTCACACGGACTTCGTAAGATGGCTGTCATCATTTCAACTAGTAACAGAAATATGACCACAAGTTTAATTTAGGTATATTATATCTACACATTTGTGTATATCTTCGCAATTATAGTCTTCTGCAATATCAGTAGTCAGTCAATTATGTTCCATGCGTGATAGATGCTTAGGCGATCATGTAATTTTCGATACATGACTGACGATTCATTTCTTTCTGCGGTAGACAATTTACCATCCAAGGCTATAGAACCCGGTCTGCTATTTCCTCATACCTGGGGGGGGGGAGGAGAAGATTTAAGGGTATTAGCACTAATATTAAGTGAATGTAATGGATTCAACTGGAATTCTAACTCGGCCACAGTATATCCTACTAGGATTCAAACAATTTAACTTTTGTAAAACCACGGTAAAATAATGGATAGCGGTTCAGATTGAGGAATCGGAGAGCCGAATTTGAATTACAATCGAGGCCATTGAATTCACTTATGTGCTAATACTCTCGGGAAGGTATGAGTCCTCTTCTTCTTCCACTAGCTATGGATAAATAGCAGGACATACCGAGTTCTATAGCCTTGGATGGCAACTGGTCTACCGCAGAGAGAAATGTCAAAAAAAATTAACCTCGTCAGTCATGTATCGAAAGATACATGATCGCCTAAGCGTGTATCACGCCTGGCACATAACTGACTGAACACCATATAAATGACAATTCTATACAGCACTATATTATTCTTAATCGCATGTGCTATGTCGTGATGTCTTCTTCTCAAAATATTATTATTTTTCCTTTTCACTTCTGTCTATTTTAGCTTTCCTTTATCACCGCCTGTTTGATCACATTCCATGACCACTCCGCTTTCCTCGCGGAACTCATTCGAGTGCCTGTAACCAACAACATTTGCGTTCTTCCATCAAGTGTCTAAGGGACTCCCACCATCCACTTGCCGTTATTCCATTATTTTATGCGCGGTCGCGTTTTATAGATGATTCAGCTCAGTCAGATGTTCCTCTTCTTGTTAAACCTTCTCTACAGCCATTTAATGGTTGGAGAGTTTTTATACAAGGCTGAACAAAATAATTTAAGCAGAGAAAGTTTTTCACTTACTCGACATGCAACATAAAATGCGAATAGAATTATGAAAAAATAATGTTAAATGCAGTATATATGAAAAACCAGGTAGCACTTCTCTGGACTAATCCCACCCACCATATGTTAATTAATATATATATATATATATATATATATATATATATATATATATATATATATATATATATTTGTGTGTATATATATGTGTGTGTGTATATATATATATATATATATATATATATATATATGTGTGTGTGTGTGTGTATATATATATATATATATATATATATATGTGTGTGTGTGTGTGTGTGTGTGTGTGTGTGTGTGTGTGTGTGTGTGTGTGTGTAATTAACATATGGCAGGTGGGATTAGTCAGAGAAGTGCTACTTGGTGTTTCATATATTCTATATTTAACATTATTTTTTCATAACTCTATTCGCATTTCCAGGATATATCAGATACTTTCATTGAAAATGGATACATTGTGTTGGAGAGGGATACATATTTATGTGATAGTTTTTAGTGGAGATATTATAGATGATCTGATGTGTTGTTCTAGAACAGGAGATGGAGTAGTGACAGCATTGTGTTGTACACAATAAGTCTGCCGGGGTGATGCAAAAGAGATCTAACCATTCCCTATGGCATCCTGCAGTGGCAGAACCAAAGAAGAGACAGAGCGTTGTACATTTGGATTTTAAACTGCGTCATACAACACCACTTAATGGGCGCCATGAATCCCCAGGTAAACACGTTTGTGTTATTCCACCATGGAAACAAATCTAGAGTGAATTTAATATCTTGATTATCTGAAGGCGCTTTATGCTTCGACGGAAATGTATATTCGACTTAAATTTAAAAAGATTAGCTTATTTTATCTGTTTTAGTATAAATAATACACCTTATCTTTTTTTTTTAATTAGAAATGAAACCTGCCTAGAATAAAATGCTAGAGAGAATACAATACTGATAAAAAAAATTTCCAACTTTTTAAATTTTGAGCTAGAGAGATTTAGACTTTTAAACATGTTTTCGGATATTAAGGACATCTTTTTAAGTGCATAGGTATGTACGCTTTTTACTCGCTGGAGTTACCAGTCCCACGCCCAACTAGTTTGGGAATCAATTTCGTTTTTTTGTTTGTTTGTTTTTTTTTCACCCTATGCAAGACCTATGAGCTACTCAAGGTAAAGGGTTATATAGTACGGAGTTATATTAACTTAGGAAAAAAGTACAAACATTAGTATAGACCTGAAGTAGATTTTAGAAGGCAAAAGAAACCCAATCCTAATCAAACCTCTACTCGTGTTCAAAAGACCGGGGAGGAGTGTGAACCGGGCGATAGTTGAACCTATCTACTCCGATTAATGTGGAAGAAATAAAAATAAAAATAAAATAACTTCAGTATAAAATTTCAGAGTTCAGGCACAAACGTTAGGAGTACGGAGCCAAAGCGGACATTAGCAGGAACCGGAAACCCAATCCTAAACAGGAAACAAGGGATAAACCGCTATTCATATTTAAAAAAAAAAAAAAAAAAAAAAAAACGGGATTAGTGAGAACCGTACGATAGGTTAACCTGTCTACTCCTATTGCACTACTCCTAGACTGATTGCCAACCAAAGCTATGAACGTTTTTTATTTAAAAACCTTTCCCAAGGTGATACAGAAAGTATTAGATTTTCAAACAGGTTTTGTGAAGCTAAGGAAATTTTTATAAGCGCAGAGGTGTGTGTATAAGGGTATGCGTTGAGAACTTGAAATATTTCTCAAAATTTCACCCGTCGCAAATTAGACTAAAATTTTTAGTTCATTAGTACGCTTCTTGGAGATGCAGATGAAGAAGGTAGGATTTAAATATATAGCCATACAAAGTTTGCTTTTTGTAGGTCCCTATTCTTTAACGCCATAATATCCCCCTGTGGCGTATAGAGCTATAGCCCCACAACACTGTATTGCTGCAGTGGTTTATGTGACAACTAGGTTTTTTACTCGGTGAAGATTCCAGTCTCATGCCCAGCGAGTTTTCGAATCAGAATTGTCCTTCTGATAGACTGACTGTCAGCGAAGTCTAGGGATCCCAGTTATTTAAAAACAGGAATTCATAACTTTTTTCAAAATGATATAAAATGCGTAGGATACATAAAAATGGTACACTCTACTGTAATGATCAAAAACTTAACGACCCGGGCTGAGTGGAGTTGATTTGAACACCATGGGCATGGAATCCCGTCGCCAATGGATTGCTTTTGTTTGATTTGACATTTAACATAAGACTGCAAAACATGCGAATGCCGGCAATTTGGTTCAGGCAGTTGAGATTTAAGAACTCAGATGTATTCCTCTTCCACATTCCTTGCCGTAGTTTCAGCAGCCATAACGTCCATAGAATAAATAGATGGCCGACATGTTGACATCCATTCAGTCTATCTGCTATCCCTCTCTCTCTCTCTCTCTCTCTCTCTCTCTCTTCTTAAAAGAAACGATGTCTACTACTTCCCGCCCTGAAAATAAAGCAACGTACAA